ATCATGGATGTTCCTCTCTCTCTCTCTCTCTCTTCCTCTCTGAAATCAATAAAAATGTATTTAAAAATAAATAAATAAAAGAAGAGCTCACATTTGCTCTTCTTATTTATCTTCGTTCATCCTCACCTGAGGACCGTTTTCCACTGATTTTTAGAGAGAGTGGGAGGGAGAGAGACACATCGATTGGTTGCCTTCGCACATGCTCCGACCAGGGCTGGAGCCTGCAGCCGAGGTCCATGCCCTTGACCGGAGTCGAACCCGGGGCCCTTCAGTCTGCAGGCCGACACTCTTTCTACTGAGCCACACCAGCTAGGGCTATTTTATCTTTTTTTAAAATATTTTTATTGATTTCAGAGAGGAAGGGAGAGGGAGAGAGAGATCGAAACATCAATGATGAGCCCTAGCGGGTGTGGCTCAGTGGGTAGGGCGTCGGCCTGTGGACTGAAGGGTCCCGGGTTCGAGTCCAGTCAGGGCACAGGCCCGGGTTGTGGGCTCGATCCCCAGTAGGGGGCGTGCAGGAGGCAGCCGACCAGTGATTCTCTCTCATCGTTGATGTTTCTTTCTCTCTCCCTTCCTACCTGAAACCAATAGAAATGTATTAAAAAGCCACTGAATCTCACACTCTGAAGAGGTGGATTCTATGGCGTGTGAATTTATGTCTCAATAAAAAAGAAAGAGACACTTTGTCAGACGGGCACTCCCTGGAGGAATCTGTCCTGGCCTGGGCTCTCCACACGAGAGAAATGTGGGCGCACACAGAGGGATAAACACCCCCCCCCCAAAGAAATGAAGGGACCAGGAATGGCTGCGACTCGGGCAGGTAGAAAAGACCTTTCCTCTTATTTGTAGCTGCTATAAAAATCACGGTGTCTCGTAAAAAGGGTGGGAGGCGCCATGGGTAGATAGCATATGTCTGTAAAAATAAACTATGATGCCCGGCCGGCGTGGCTCAGTGGCTGAGCGTCGATCTATGAACAAGGAGGGCAGGGTTGGATTCCGGGTCAGGGCACAGGCCCGGGTTGCGGGTTCGATCCCCAGTGGGGGGCGTGCAGGAGGCAGCCGATCCATGGTTCTCTCTCATCATGGATGTTTCTCTCTCTCTCTCTCCATCTCACTTCCTCTCTTTCTAAATATCCATAAAAAAAATTTTAAAAAATAAAAATAAACTGTCTGAAAATGTCACAATAGCTGGGAGGGGGAGTGGAGGAGACGGCTGGGGGTTCGCCCTGCCCTGACGTGCGCTCGTCTGATTGGACGGTAGAGTGCGATCAATTAGCGAGACATCCCCTTGGCAACTCCTGGGGCAACGTCATGTGGTTAAACCTTAGGACAAGCGTGGAAAAGCCGGTACCGAGAGCTAAGGACTAAGCTAATAATAAGACAAGATGGAACCATGACAAACTCTGAAATAATCCAAAAGCAGAAAGAAAGAAAAAAAAAGGCGACGAAAGAAAGAAAGAAAGAAAGAAAGAAAGAAAAAAAGGCTAAAGAGCACAGAGCACAGATGGAACAAACAGAAGAACTGGGAAGAGTGCTGACTTCGTTCCAATCGTATCCATCACCGCGCGGAGTCTATGATCCAAACTCACGCAGCAAGACCCCGAGTTTCCCGCGTTGGACAGAAATAGAAGGACCCAGCGTCTGCAAGAAGCACGCTTTCGATGGGCATGCGCAGCCGGGCCCGGCCAGGGAGGCTCAGGGGCTGAGCGTCGGCCTAGGAACCAGGAGGTCACGGTTCGATTCCCGGTCAGGGCACAGGCCCGGGTTGTGGGCTCCATCCCCAGTCGGGGGCGTGCAGGAGGCAGCCAATCCATGATTCTCTCTCTTCATTGATGTTTCTAAATCTCTCCCTCTCCCTTCCTCTCTGAAATCAATAAAGACATATACTTTTTAAAAAGATGGCAAGGAAGGAAAATATTTGTCTATTTCTCCTGTAATTCAAAACCACAGACATGGAGGCTTGGACACTCCTTTCTCAGTAACAGCCAGAGCGAAGAGACAGATCATCAGCACGGGATTTAGAAGAAACCGACATGATCAACCATCTGGATCCAATTGTCATTTACGGGACACTCCACCCAACAACAGCAGATACACAAGTGCTCATGGGACATGCGCCACGACGGACCGTATCCTCGTTCGTGAAGCAAGTCTTAACCCGTTCAAGGAAGCGAACTCACCGAACAGAATGAAATTGAACTAGAAATCAGTAACAGAAAAATAACAGGTAAATATCCAATCACTTGGAAATTAGACCACAGATTCCCAAATGCTCCGTAGGTAAAAGAGGAACACTCAAAGGAAATCAGGAAATATTAGGCACCGAGTGAAAATGAACGTACAACATATCAAAATGTGTGGGATGCAGCTAAAGCAGTGCTTAGAGGAAAATTCATAGCACCGAATGCTTCTACTAAAAGAAGAAAAGGTGCCAAATCAATCATCTGAAGGTCCATGTAAGAAACTAGAAAAGAAAGAGAAACAATAAACTCCCAACACACAGAAGGGAAGAAATAGACTTTGCTAAGGCATTACATGGTACTAACGCAGGTAAATTGTTGCAGAAATTAAGGCATCTCAACAACATCTCTGCTTAAACATCTTCAGTGATAGAATTACTCACCAAAGAGAATGGTGACTAACACGCCCCTTCCTGTAATGGTCTCACATAACTTCCCAACATTATCATCTTTTCTTCCTGTTGCACTGCTGACAGCATTTTAACTCCTGTCAGCCGTGCCCCCTGCCCCTTTCTGCGCTGTTTGTTTGTTTTTAAATATTTTTTTTATTGATTTCAGAGAGGAAGGGAGAAGG